CCTTCCCCCCCCTATAACTGTCCTTCTTCGCCCCCACACCCTCCCCAAAGCACAGCTTCTCCAGCTGCTTATATCGCAGCTGCTGGGCCTCTCTCTAGCGAAGCACTCCTTTCTCACTCCCTTCTCGTCCCCCCCTTCCCCCCCTCGCCCCTTCAACCAGCTGCTCCAGCTGCTTATATCACAGCTGCTGGGCCTCTCTCTAGCGAAGCACTCCTTTCTGGCCAATGGGGAGCCCGGCAGTAGCAGCAAGTACCTCTGGCATGTGAAGAAGCTCTACCAGGTGAGTGATTGAGGGATTCTGGCGAAGCATGTCTTTTTTTCCAGCAGGGAGCCCGGCATATCAGCAAGTGCCTCTGGCATGTCAAGAAGCTATACCAGGTGAGTTTTCAGGTACATTTCAGTTTTGAGTCGTGTCAAAACTACAAGAAAACCCTTACCTGGAAGGGATCCTCACCTGGAAGGGACACTCCGAGAGAATGGTACCTTGGAGCCGGCTCTTTAAATTCCCCACCCTCAACCCCCCTCCCCCCTTCCCCTTCCCCTCTCCCCCTCTCCCCTCCCCCCCCCTCCCTCCCCTCCAGGCCGTCATTCCCTACTGCACCAGCCCCGACCTCCCTCTCTGGAAGCACTACCGCCGCCGCTTCCTGCTGCCCTCCCCACCCTCAAATTCCGACCCCCCATTCCCCCTTTTTCTTCTCATCTCCCTTTTGATTCCCCCCCCCCCCCCCCCCCCCCCCCCTCAGCCCGTCATTCCCTACTGCACCAGCCCCGATCTCCTCCTCTGGAAGCACTTCCGCGCCGCTTCCTGCTGCCCTCCCCACCTTAAATCTCCATTCCCCCTCTTTTTTTACATATCTCCCTTCTGTTCCTCCCCTTCCTTCCTCCCCCAACCCCCCGCCCCCCCAATCAGCCCGTCATTCCCTACTGCACCAGCCCCGACCTCCCCCTCTGGAAGCACTTTTTCCGCCACTTCCTCCTGCTCTCCCCACCACGCCTTCAAATTCCCTTTTCCCCATCCCCCCTCTCTCTTCTCGTATCTCCCTTCTGCTTTTCCCCCGCCCCCCCCCTTCAGCCCGTCATTCCCTACTGCTCCAACCCAGACCTCCCGCTCTGGAAGCACTTCCGCCGCCGCTTCCTGCTGCCCTCCCCACCTCCCCCAGACACCACCGACCCAACCGCTACCTCACCCATCCTCGCCATCTCCTCCTCCCCCTCCTCCTCCTCTCTCTCTGACGACCCCTCCTCCCCCCTCGAGCGCGTGCCCAAGGTGCCGCCTGGCTTTCTGGACGGGGCTCGCTCCGTGTTCCCCTCGCTGCCCGCCCTGCCGGATGAGGGCTACGCACAGGGAGGGGACTTGCACGGGTCGTGGGTGCCCATAGGCTGGCAGGTGAGACTAATTAGCTGTATAAGGTCGCCTTGCCCAGGTGCCTCCTAAGGTCACTCCAACGGTCATACCACAAGCACCTCGCTCACTGCCTGCCCTGGCAAGGGAGGGGACTTGCACAGGTTGTGGGTGCCCATGGGATGGCATATGAGACTGCTCTGGTTCCTGCACATAGTAACGAGGGTGATTTTTTAGTCGACTCAAAACGAGGCGACTTTTGAGTCGACTCAAAAGTCACCGCGTTAGGTCATGGGTGCCCTTGGGATGGCACATGAGACTGTTTTGGCTCCTGCACATAGTAACGAGGGTGACTTTTGAGTCGACTCAAAACGAGGCGACTTTTGAGTGGACTCAAAAGTCACCGCATTAGGTCTTGGGTGCCCATGGGATGGCACATGAGAGACTGCCCTGGCTCCTGCACATGCCATGCTGAGTTAGGTTTTTTAGAATTCTCAGAAACCTAGCACATGCCATGGCAGGGGGTGGTGGCGCAAGATGACTCCATGCGCAGCACCAAGGCACTAGGGCGGGGGGAGGGGACTCGTTGCTGCATCAACTCGTCCCCCCCCCCCCCTCTCTCTCTCTCTCTCGCCCATGCGTTCTGCCTTCTCTTCATACCACAATCAGGTGGTGGCGGTGCAGGAGGACTCTGTTGGTGTGTGTTGGTGCTTGTGTTTGTACCCATGCCCGTGCCATGTCAGGTGGTGGTGGCGCACGACTCGATGCGGTGCACCAAGGCGCTGGGGCAGATGGAGGAGCTGCTGCACTGATGCTTCCCTCTCATTCCCATACCCGTGTGTCTGCACCTTGAATCCAAATCCCCCGTACTCTTTGTGCCTACATGTGTATGTGCCATGTCAGGTGGTGGTGGCGCACGACTCGATGCGGTGCACCAAGGCACTGGGGCAGGTGGAGGAGCTGCTGCACCGGTACTTCCCTCCTGATAGGATCTTTGTGTTCTCGTCCAGCAGAAAGATCATGGAAGGTGTGTCCTCTTGCCTCGTATCCCTCCCGTGGCGGCTTCTGGGTCGACTTGCTGACCTTCGAGTTGGCTCAAAACGCAAGCAGTCCTCCTGGTTTGTGTTCTTTCATACCTTGGCAGCCTTGCCATTAATCCACCACTGTGAACAGTCCTCTCGCACTTACCCGCCTGCCCCTCTCCCCTGCTCCCTAACCCCTTATCGCAACCCGTTCACCACAGAGAAACACAACCTCAAACGAGCAGCCCTCTCATAACCACCACAGCACCATATACATGCCTCTCGCACATTCTCCTCGTCTCTGCTCCCTGTATTCTCCCCCGTTTCTCCCCCCCCCCCCCTCTACTCCACCCCAGGCAAGTACTTCTTCAACCGAGCTGCCCTCTTCGTAGCCTGCATCAGTTTCGCCACCACTTCGCCTCTCATACGTTCTTCTCCCCCTGCTCCCTATTCCCCACGCCCTACTGGTCAAACACTCCAGGGAAGCCATCTTCAACCGAGCAGCTCTCTTTATAACCTAACTCGCCATCACCAACACAACACCATGTTCGTGCCTCTCACACACACTCCCACTCCCTCTACTCCCCATGTTCCCCCAACCCCCTACCGTATCACCACCCCAGGCAAGCATATTTTCAACCGGGCGGCTCTATTCATAACCTGTCTGGGGCTCGCCATCACCAACACCATGTTCATGCCGCCCCGGGCGGCAGTCCTCGACCTGCGGCCGCCCATCCCCGCCAACCTCGCCACCCACTACACCCTCCTCTCCCGCTCCTTCGCCTCGGCCAACGACCTCCGCTCTTTCGTCCTCATCTGCCAGCCGGGTGATGACGTGGCAGATCCCGCCACGTCGTCGGCGGCCCTCCGCGCGTCATCCGGCCAGCTGGCGTGCAACGCGCGGGAAATCGACGATGTGATTGACCGTGTTGCCCACGATATCTACTCCTCGCCCGGTGCCATTGCCGCTGCTATGTCCCCGGCTCGGGACGCCGAAGCTGCCGCCGAAGCTGCTGCCGAGGCGCTCGCCGACGCCGAAGCTAACGGGAGGTCGCTGCTGCGGCCTACAGACCTCATCCGAGGCTCGGTGCTCCGGAGCTCGCTGCAGGTGCAGAAATTCCGATCCTGGATGAAATGTGTCGGCCAGGAGGGCTCGTGGGTCTATGACCCGAAACCCCGCCGCCTCCCCTGGTGGTTTATGGGGAAGCCGTACCAATGTGACTCAGCTTTAAGTGGGAGGCACCTGGGGAAAGCCATGGGGGCAGCTGATAAGATAGCGGATGAGAAGGGGGATCCAGAGGAGTGGACGGTGAGAGAATCGCTCAAGTATAAATGGGGAGTGCCTGCCAACGCGTGTCCCAGGGTGCCACTTCGATCCTGGGAGGTGGAGGATGAGGAGGAGGGGCCGGAGGGGGGATGAGGACCGGAGGAGCGAGAGAATCGATGAGGATGACGATGCGTTTCGCCCACACTAGCTGGCTGAAATTCACCCCGGAAAAGTTTTGCGAGAGGGTGGGCCGCGGGCGGCTGTTTCTCTTCCTGGGGGATTCGCTCAACGAGCAGTTATCCGAGGCGTTTCTCAACAACCTCCTTGTGAAATTCCCGAAGCCGGTCGCGGAGGAACATATGACAATGGAAGTTCCCAAGTACTGCTCCGACTGGCACAACGACTCGTCTGTGAAGCACGCCTTCTGCAAGTTCTACTCGGTCAGCGATGACGTCTGCCCGGGGCTCCGGGCAGCTTACGTGCGAACGGACCAGCTCACGTTGTCCAACCCTCGCTCGTTCGACCGGCAGCCGTGGTCCCGAATGGAGGTGATTCGAGAAGCCGATGTGATTATAGTGAATCGCGGGCCGCACTACGAAGAGGATGCGCTCTATGCCCCCGTGCTCGAACGCGCCCTAATGTACATCCGAAGCCGATTCCCAGAGAAGCTTATTATCTGGCGGAACACCCCGCCTGGTCACGCCAACTGCACGGGCCAGAAAACCCCGTTGAAAAAGCGCCAGGATCCGGCGATTCTCCCGTATAACTGGGATAAATTCGCGCGGCAGAACAAGCTAGCGGAGGTGATTGTAAAGAGGTATGGAGCTGCCTATATGGACGTTGATTCGATGACGGCGCTGCGAATCGACGGTCACAAGGAGTTTGTTCCGGCCAAGAATGCAGTGGACTGCCTGCATTACTGCCACCCGGGGCCGCTGGATGGGTGGGTGGAGCACTTGTACAACACGCTCTCGTGGCTCATGGCGCCCCCCCTCCCTGTCCAATAGAGTGCAGTGCAGTGCTACTGTATGTTCAGTTCACCGGGAGGTATTACTGCCACCCCCGGGGGCTGGGGCCGCTTGGGCTTTGGCTGCAACAGCCCCCGGGGGTGGTCCAACAGATGTTCAATACGCTACTTTGTCTCATGGCATACCCCCGTGAATCGTCTATTTTTGAGGCGCCTCAAAAATAGACTCCTCACGCTTTGTCTCATGCATTCCCTCCCCCTTCCCTCAATTCAACTTAACCTCTGGAATAAACTTGGTAGGATGATAAGTCTTAGCGGATACTAATTGTGCGGAGCCAAATGTGCCACTGCACTGAGACAGATGGGATTCATATCTGTTCAGAATAATGTAACATGCAAGTGACATATTGTCCACACAGCCCTTCTTGAGTCACTCCCATTCCAACAATACCACATTACACAGCTTGCAACTTGCAAGGCCCGTTCCGTCCTATGATCCGTCCATCACCCCTCATCCACCCCCCTCCCTTCGTTCCTAAACACCTCCACAACAGTTCCCAAGTTCCCAACCGTTTTGTAGGCGCCTCAAAAACTGTTCCCAGGCGGTCTCAGCGCATGCATCCGACTCCCTGCAGTGGACTTGAAAAGCGAGACAACCACCACGAAACTCTGTTGAGTGTTGTCCCTCCCTTCCCCCCTCCCCCCCGCCCCCGCTTCACCTCCTCCCTCCCTCCCTGCTCTCTGAACGGCTCTTCCTTCACCACAGCGCTTCCATCCGCCTCAGCACATGCACGAGGCTCAGCAGATAGGTTTTTTAGACTTCTAAAAACCGTATCACAGTCGAGGTTCAGCACATGCACAAGGCTGGTTGCTGCTGCCAGACGCCAAGTGCTCTCATACCCTTACCTGCCCTTCTTTCTGAAAGCCTCCTCCTCAACAACACAATTCCAGCGCTTCTGAGAGCATGCACCACCAGACTCCCCGCAGTGGACTTGAAAGTCGTGAACGTGCCCAAGGTGGTGTGGCAGAAGATGGCCTGCTGAATGGCCTCAATCTCCTCGTGCTCTATCTGCCCTGCTTTCTGAACGCCTCCTCCTCCACCACACAGTTACCCGCCCGCCTCAGCGCATGCACGAGGCTCCCAGCAGTGGACTTGAAGGTGGTGAACGTGCCCAAGGTGGCGTGGCAGCAGATCGCCTGCTCCACAAACAGCACAATGTCCTCTAGCTCCTCCACCCTCCCCTCCTCCCCTCCTAGCCTGCGCCTTCCTGCCAGTTCCTCCAGTTTCCCTGACTCACCCACTCCCTTCACTTCTTGCAATCCCACAAAATCCTCTGCTCTTTGCATGTGCTTGGCTCTGCCACCCTCCCCTCCATATGCCAGCCTTCGCCTACCTTGTCGTTTTGGAGTCTGGGGTCCAACACCGCCACCACCAGCAGTGCCATCCCCCATACTAGCAGCCCCGTTAGCAGTCAGGTGCACCTGCCCCCTGTTCGCATACAGCCCAATCTCCTCCGTTAATATCGTCCTCGCTACAGTGTTAACCCTCCCCATTATGCCGTCCACAGTAAACAGCTCTACAGGAAATTCACCAAGGTGCTCTAGGAAGGTTCCTTTCCAGGAGGCTTTGGGAATGTCGGTCATAAGGAAAAGGGGGAACTTGAGAGGCGGGGCGTGGGCTTTGGGGTTGCGCTTAAGCATCTCTTTTAGCGTCGCTTCTGCATCTCTGGGGGATGAAGGTCGGAACGGGAGATGGGAGGGAAGGGATGAGAGAAGAGAGGAATGAGCAACGAGAGGAGTGAGAGACCTTGCCAGAGGAGGAAGGTCCCCAGCAGGGTCCCTTGCCAGGAGGCCTTGGGAATGTCGGTCACTAGGAAAAGGTGGAACTTGGGAGGCGGGTTTTGAGGCGCCTCAAAACTGAACTTGAGAGGCGGGTTTTGAGGCGCCTCAAAACTGAACTTGAGAGGTGGGGCGTGGGCGCTCGGGTTGCGCATAAGCATCGCTTATAACCTTGCATAAGCATCTCTTTTAACACCACATAAGCATCGCTTTTAACATCGCCTCCGATCTCTGGCAAGAGGAGAGGGAGAGGAGGGGGATTATAGATCTGTGGCAAGAGGAGAGGGGAAGAGTGGGAGAATGGAAAGAAGGGCAGCCAGGCCAGGAAGAGGGCGCTGAATGTAGAATCCCCCTCCTCCCCCTCCGTAACTTTTCAAATTTCACAGACAGAGGGGTACCACTACAGGGATATTTACATGAGAGAGCTCCTGAGCGCCTTGACTTGACGAACTAGCCGCCAGTGACCCTCATGGGTTTGCGACTCTTAGAGCAAGAAAGCCGTCACTTACTTAAGAGTGTTCTTTAGCGACTTGACGAACATGCCGTCGGTGCCCCGCACTTGCATGCACCCAAAGGGACGCCCGATGCTGCTGTAGATGAAATCACGCGCCAGATCCATTATGGGGGGCGTGAAGGGCATTGATACGGGGGCCTGCAAGCATAGGGAAGATTGGGAAGTCTATTTTTGAGGCGCCTTACAGATTGGGAAGGGAAATGGGTGGAATGTGCGGAGTGAGTGTGCGTTCAAATGCTGCTGTAGATGGAATCGCGCGCCAGGTCCACTTTGGGGAGGTTGAAGGGCATCGACACGGGGGCCTGCAAGCATGGGGACGGCGGGGGCCGGGGGGCGGGGGGCGGGGGGAGAGGGGGTGGGGGGGGGGTGAAAGTGTTGAGCGTTTGAATGCTGAATGATTTGCCAGTAATGAACATAAGAGTTTGAAGTCACGTGCGAGGTCCATTATAGGAGGGGTAAAGGGCATGGATGCGGGGGCCTGCAAGCATGGGGATGATTGGGAAGTCTAATTTTGAGGCGCCTCAAAGATTGGGAAGGGAAATGGGCTAAGATCCGTTGGCTGTCGCAGTCGAATCTACCCTTTACTTCTGCGAGGGAAATGGGTGGCACGTGAGGAGTGCGTTCAAATGCTGCTGTAGGTGTATGAAGCACATCGATGGGGAAGGGTGGTGAAGGGCATTGATGCGGGGGGCTGAGGGAAGAGATCGAGGTGTGGACGGGGTGTGGAAGGGGGAGATGGTTAGGAGGAAATGAGTGCGGCCTGTGTTACAGTCCTTGACACAGAGGGGGTGGACTGTTACAGTCCTTGACACAGAGGGGGGGGACTGTTACAGTCCTTGACACAGAGGGGGTGGACTGTTACAGTCCTTGACACAGAGGGGGGGGACTGTTACAGTCCTTGACACAGAGGGGGTGGACTGTTACAGTCCTTGACACAGAGGGGGGGGACTGTTACAGTCCTTGACACAGAGGGGGTGGACTGTTACAGTCCTTGACACAGAGGGGGTGGACTGTTACAGTCCTTGACACAGAGGGGGGGGACTGTTACAGTCCTTGACACAGAGGGGGTGGACTGTTACAGTCCTTGACACAGAGGGGGGGGACTGTTACAGTCCTTGACACAGAGGGGGGGGACTGTTACAGTCCTTGACACAGAGGGGGTGGACTGTTACAGTCCTTGACACAGAGGGGGTGGACTGTTACAGTCCTTGACACAGAGGGGGGGGACTGTTACAGTCCTTGACGCAGAGGGGGTGGACTGTTACAGTCCTTGACACAGAGGGGGGGGACTGTTACAGTCCTTGACACAGAGGGGGTGGACTGTTACAGTCCTTGACACAGAGGGGGGGGACTGTTACAGTCCTTGACGCAGAGGGGGTGGACTGTTACAGTCCTTGACACAGAGGGGGGGGACTGTTACAGTCCTTGACACAGAGGGGGTGGACTGTTACAGTCCTTGACACAGAGGGGGTGGACTGTTACAGTCCTTGACACAGAGGGGGGGACTGTTACAGTCCTTGACACAGAGGGGGTGGACTGTTACAGTCCTTGACACAGAGGGGGGGGACTGTTACAGTCCTTGACGCAGAGGGGGTGGACTGTTACAGTCCTTGACACAGAGGGGGGGGACTGTTACAGTCCTTGACACAGAGGGGGTGGACTGTTACAGTCCTTGACACAGAGGGGGTGGACTGTTACAGTCCTTGACACAGAGGAAAGGGAACAGGGGGAGGGGGGAAAGGGGGGGGGGGAAGGGGGTGGAGGGAGGTCGTGGGGGGGAGGGCAAAGACGCAAGGGCCAAAGGTCATGAAGCACATCTATGATCGCTCGTCTCATTTGCTCACCTCTCTAATCGCTTGCACGCGGTTGTCCCACTCCAGGTTGATGTCAGCAATGCGCGGATGGGAGAGAAAAGAGAGCGCAAGGCGAGCACCTGTGAGGATGGATGAGCATAGAGGGAAATACCTGCATACCTTCGAGATGACTTTTGAGTCGTCGACTCAGAAATACCTGCATACCTTCGAGATGACTTTTGAGTCGTCGACTCAGAAATACCTGCATACCTTCGAGATGACTTTTGAGTCGTCGACTCAGAAATACCTGCATACCTTCGAGGTGACTTTTGAGTCGTCGACTCAGAAGTACCTGCGTACCTTCGAGGTGACTTTTGAGTCGTCGACTCAGAAATACCTGCATACCTTCGAGGTGACTTTTGAGTCGTCGACTCAGAAGTACCTGCATACCTTCGAGGTGACTTTTGAGTCGTCGACTCAGAAATACCTGCATACCTTCGAGATGACTTTTGAGTCGTCGACTCAGAAATACCTGCATACCTTCGAGGTGACTTTTGAGTCGTCGACTCAGAAGTACCTGCATACCTTCGAGGTGACTTTTGAGTCGTCGACTCAGAAATACCTGCATACCTTCGAGGTGACTTTTGAGTCGTCGACTCAGAAGTACCTGCATACCTTCGAGGTGACTTTTGAGTCGTCGACTCAGAAATACCTGCATACCTTCGAGATGACTTTTGAGTCGTCGACTCAGAAGTACCTGCATACCTTCGCTCACCTCTCTAATCGCTTGCACGCGGTCGTCCCACTCCAGGTTGATGTCAGCAATGCGCGGATGGAAGAGCGAGGGAAAGGCCAGCACCTGACGGGACAAGCAGCATGGGGGGGAAATACGCAGGAGAAGACATCGAGTTGGCTGGAAACACGTCCCCAAGGGCGGATTACTTGGTGAGTGGCATGGGCTCGTTGCCGTTGCGCTTCAAATGATGCATCTTGTGTTAACAAGCATGGCAAGCGTGCCACACACCTTGCTGTCCTTGGCAGGAGACGAGTCCCCAAGGGTGGAGTATATGTTGAGTGGCACCGGCTCATTGCAGTGCCGCTTCAATCAATATTCTGTTTCGACATGCGTTTGTACGCACCTTGCAGCACGCACCTTGCAGCACGTACCTTGCAGCACGCATCTTGCTGCCCTGACCTTGCTGCCCCTACCTTGCTGCCCCTACCTTGCTGTCCTTGGCAGGAGACAAGTCCCCGAGGGTGGAATAGATGTTGAGTGGCACTGGCTCGTTGCGGTTGCGCTTCACGTTGATGTGTGCAAAGGCGGGCACTGCTGGCTCCTTCTCCCCCACTGCTGCCACCAGGTCCTTGAGACTTGATAGGGGGGAGAGACGGTTGGAGAGAGAAGAAGGGAGGGAACAAGACGCTTCAGATTAATGTGAGCAAAGGCGGGGACGGCTGGCTCTTTCTCCCCCACTGCTGCAACCAGGTCCTTGAGACTTGAAAGGGGGGGGGGGGTTAGGAGGTGCAAGGAGCGGGAAACATGGGGAGAGGGGAAGGAAGGGCATACGGAGCTTTAAGTTTTTGTGTGCAAAGGCCGGCACGGCTGGCTCCTTCCCCCCCACTGCTGCCACTAGGTCCTTGAGACTGGAGAGATTGATTTGAGGGGGGGAACTGGAGGAGCGACAGGTGGAAGAGGGGGTGGTGGGGTTCGAGGAAGGAGAGGCATGTTTCAGTCGATGTGTGCCACTTGAGGCGCCTCAAAAATAGACTCCTCACGCATGGGGAGAGAGGACGGGAGGGACTTTTTTAGGCGGCTCTAAAAGAGGGGGTGGTGGGGTTCGAGGAAGGAGAGGCATGTTTCAGTCGATGTGTGCCACGGCCGGCACGGCTGGCTCCTTCTCCCCCACCGCTGCTACCAGGTCCTTGAGACTTGAGAGATTGACTTGAAGGGGGGAGGGGAGAGGGACACATATGGGGGGAAGGAAGGAAGGAAGGAAGGGCATTTGGTGCTTCAAGCTGATGTGTGCCTAAACCGGCTCTCCTGGCTCATTCTCCCCCACTGCTGCTACCTTGTCTTTCAGAGTGCATAGGGGGGAGACAGGAGGTGAGAGGAGTCTATTTTTGAGGCGCCTCAAAAATACATTCCTGGCTGTTTCTCTCCCACTGTTACCAAGTCTTTCAGACTTTTTAGGGGGGAGACTGCTTTTGAATCGACTCAAAAGCAGACAGGAGGTGCAGTGCGAGGAGAAAGATGGGGAGAGTGATCTTTTAGTCGACTCAAAAATCGGCTACCTAGTCTTTCAGACTTCATAGGGGGGAGACAGGAGGTGCAGTGCTAAGAGAAAGGGTTTGGGGAATTCTAAAAAAAATCCCCACTGCTGCTACCTAGTCTTTCAGAGCTCATAGAGGGGAGACAGGAGGCGCAGTGCGAGGAGAAAGATGGGGAGAGGAGAAGGAAGAGCGTTACATGCTTCAGTAGGAAAAGACACCCGCTGCTTCCTGCACAGTCATACCACACTGTACACTGTACCACGCAGCTCTGCATTACACCAAACATCGCCATGGTGTGTGCACCTGGCATAGCTGCCAATGGTCCAGAGAGTATCCATGCACGTGTTGCCAATGGGAGATGGCGCCCTTTGCTGCCTCCACCGCATCAAATCACACTGCACTGCGTTGCGCCGCAATGAATCGTGGCCGTACCTGGCATAGCTGCCAATGGTCCAGAGAGTATCCATGCACTTGTTGTCAATGGGAAACAGCACCCCCTGCTGCTTCCACTTCTTACTCGCCCACCACTGCGCCCCTGGCTTTGCCCCGCATTGCCACATGCACTTCCGTACCACACCACATTGCACCACATTGCACCTCAGACGTACCTGGCATAGTTGCCAATTGTCCAAAGGGTATCCTTGCACGTGTTATCAATGGGAAACAGCACCCCCTGCTGCTTCCACTTCTTACTCGCCCCCCCCTGCGCCCCTAGCTTGGCCCCACACTCCCACATGCACTTGTCGTCCTGTTGCGGGGTTGAGATAAACGAGTCATGAGAGTGAAAGAGTGAGTGAGAGTGCAAGAAAGCGAGAGAGACGGTGAGTGAGAAACAAAAAAAGAGAGAAACAAACGAAGTGCCGAGGGAGCGTGGTTGTCAAGAGCATCTGAGGTGAGATGCCTTTCAAGCTTTACAGATAGAAACAAAACTTCCGAGAATGTGAACTGTTGCGATGAAACGGGTTGGATCCGCAGCAAGCCGCTTCAGCAAGCCACGAACAAAAATTCCGAGAACGTGAGATAATCAGGTGCCATGAGCACCTTATGGGAGTCATGGCAAATGGCTGTGAGTCAGCTCCCTGCACCCGGCACCACCATAGCATGCCAGCGGCGACACACCGTCACGGTATGGAAGCACATACAGAGAGCACAAGACATATGAGGGTACGAGCGATGAGCAATGAGCACCTTACGTGAGTGGGCATCATGGTTATGAGCGTGAGTCAGCTCCCTGCACCCAGTGCCATAGCAAGCCGCAGCCACGTCACAGTGGCAGAACCGGGCGGCGAAGTGCCGCAGATCAATGGTGCGGATGAGGGCGGGTGGCAGAGTCTTGAAATCGAGCACATCGGACATGGACACATAGCCCTGGATGGGATTGAGGATGGGAATGGGAATTGGGGGGTTTTTGGACTGGACTGGACATAGGATAGGTGGTGGTCAGTGGTGGTGTGGATGAGAGTGGGTGGCAGAGTCTTGAAATTAAGCACATTGGACATGGAGACGTAGCCCTGGGAGTTGTAGGGGGACAGATGGGGGGAAGGGGGGGGGGGGGGGGAAGAAGTGATTGAGATCGATGGTGCAGAGGACACGAGAGAGGGTGGCAGAGTCGTGAAATGAGGCACATCGGACATGGAGACGTAGCCCTGAGGATTGAGGGGGGGAAAGAGGGGAGGAGGGGGGTGGGGAATGGGGAGAGAATGGTGGGCATGTGACAGACAGACGTCTCAGACCAGGGCATGTGAAAGGTCGAAGTGATGGAGATCGATGGTGCGGATGGCGTGAGAGAGGGCGGCAGAGTCTTGAAATCGAGCACAGAATTTTGCAGGGTGTTTTTGAGAATTCTCAAAAACACCCTGCAGAATCCACACAACCCATCACCACCCTGCATCATCATGTCTGAGCCGTGCGCCCACGCATCATGCCTCGTCTTATCTGTCTTGGTAGCGTTGCGGCATTGTCCAACTTACACTTACCCTCCCCCGACCACCCCCATGTCCCAACCCAGCCCTCCTCTCACCTTCCCTCCTCTCACCTGCCCTCCTCTCACCTTCCCCCCCCCTCCCTCCTCTCACCTTCCCTCCTCTCACCTTCCTCCTCTCACCTTCCCCTCTCACCTTCCCCCTCTCACCTTCCCCCCCTCCCCTCTCACCTTCCCTCCTCGCATCATGTCGGAATAATGCCCCCATGCATCGTGCCTCGTCCTGTCCGGCTTGGTGGGGTTGCGGTCGCAGCGCCCAATTCCCGACGACTTGGCAAAGTGCGAGAGCTTGGGAGGGATGATCAGCGTGCGGTTTAAGAGACCAGCCAGTCGAAGGCCCCACACCAGTTGAATCACCTGTGGAGGGTAGTGCGAAAGGGGAGGCAAAGTGCGAGAGCTTGGGAGTGATGATGAGAGTGTGGTTAAGAGACCAGCTAATCGAAGGCCCCACACCAGTTGAATAACCTAAGAAAGGGGTCACGGGGGGAGAGGAGCAAGTGTGAGAGCTCGGGAGGGATGATCAGAGTGCGGTTTAAAAAACCAGGTAATCGAAGGCCCCACACCAGCTGAATGACCTGAGATTGGGACGAGGGGGGAGATGGGAAAACATAGGATTCGATCCGAACAGAAGGCCAATTGAGGCGCCTCAAAAATCCAGTTGAGGCACACCAGTTGAATCACCTGAGATTTGGACGAGGGGGGAGAGGAGTACGTGTGAGAGCTCGGGAGGGATGATCAGCATGCCGCTCAGCAGACCGGCTAGTCACAGGGCCCACACCAGCTGACTGACCTGAGACTGGGACGAGGGGGGAATGAGCAAGTGCGAGCGCTTGGGAGGTATGATCAGAGTGCGGCTCAAAAGACCAGCTAATCTAAGGCCCCACACCACTTGAGTTGAATGACCTAATAAGGGGGCTTGAGTTGAATGACCTAATAAGGGGGGCAAGGGGGGAACGAGCAAAGTGCGAGAGGTTCGAAGGGATGATCAGTGTTCAGCCAGACCGAAGCACCCCCTCATCCCACCTCCAAGAAACAAAGCCCACGGGTTTCGCCCATCTGGTTACCCACGCCCATATTTCGCCCACCTGGTTACCGAATCCGCCATGGCTGGCGAACCACATGAACCTCTCGCCAGGCCGAAGCACCCACTTGCCCCCCCCCCCCCCCCCCCCCAGCAACAATACAAAACCCCATATTTTGCTGATCTGGTTACACAAAAGCCACCAAATTTTGTCCACCAAAGTACCTAAGACCCCTTATTTCGCCCACCTGGTTACCAAAGCCCCTGTTTCGCCCACCTGGTTACCAAATCCGCCGTGGCTGGCGAACCACATGAACCTCTCGTCAGGCCTCAGCACCCACTCGTCCCCCCTCCTCCTTCCCCCATGCTCCGCCTCCCCTTCCGCTTGACCTCCCCATTCCTCCCCCCCTGAATCTCCCCCCACACCCCTCCCTGGCTCGCCATTTCCTGTGACTGGATGCTCCAATACTGCCGGCTGTTGTAAATCCGACCTTCCCTCATCCCTGCCTCCCCCCTCCCCACTCTCCCCCTCCTCCCCCCCCGCCCCATCATCACAGCCGCTGCAGCAGCCTCCGCTCCCCCCCCCTGCCCCCATTCCCCCTCCCCCCTTCCCCCCTGCTCCCCTCACTGTTCCCCCCGCCCCCAGGTATCAGCACTCTTAGTATAGACGCGTCCCCCTCTCTTAATATGTTCACACTCCCCCCTCTCCCCCCGCCCCTTCCGCCACCCCCTGCGCTCCCCCACGCTCTCTCCTCCCCATCCCTTCCCCTCCTCCTCTCTCTCGTCCCCCACCCTCTCCTTGCGCTCCCCTTCCTGCCCCCTCTCTTCCCCCTTGCAGGGCAGAGCGGAGGGGTGGGCGGAGGGATGGGGGGAGGGAGACCCCCAGGTTGCGCCAGCAGTGGGGGAAGGCGGGGGAGGAGGGGGAGAGGCAGCCCCCCCGGTGCAGCAGGAGGGTGACGAAGAGGAGGAGGAAGGAAAAGGCAATCTCGAGAAGCGTGGAGAGGCGGAATCTGCACATGGGCCAGGGGGCTGGAGGGAGGGGGGGGGACGGAGTGCGGGGAGAGGGAGGGGAAGGGGGCGGGGTGGGGGAGGGGGAGGGGGGGAAGAGGTGGGGGGGAATACGGAGGAAGAGGATGAGTGACTACGGAAAGTAAGAAGAGGGTTGAGTGACAGGAGGAGGAGGAAGGAAAAGGCAATCTCGAGAAGCGTGGAGAGGGGGAATCTACACAAGGGCCAGGGGGCTGGAGGGAAGGTGGGGGGGGAGGGAGGGGGAGGGGAATGGGTCAGCGGGGGGGAGAGGGGAAGGAGGAGGGGAGATATGGAGGAGGGGAGTGACTCAGGAAAGTAGCAGGAGGGTGACGAGGAGGAGGAGGAAGGAAAAGGCGATTTCAAAAAGCGTGGAGAGGTGGACTCTACACATGGGGCTGGGGGCTGGAGGGAAGGGGAGAAGGGGGAGAAAAAGGGGGGGCATAGGGGAGCAAGGGGAAAAAAAATCCACCTGCATTACAACTTTCTACACCTGCTCTGTGTTTTTAACCCCAAGAGCCATCGCAACTTCCTGGTAAAGTTCCTCACTCGATGTAAACGGCGAGCTCGCTGACGCTGCTTGCGCCGCTGACGGGCTGCCACGTGGCAGCCAAGATCGCTGCCGCCCCACACGGAGCTTCCTCCCCGTCCCCCCCCCACTCCCGCCGCCTCCGCCGCCTCCGCCGCCGCCGCTGGCGCTACGGGGACTGGAAGCTAGGTTACTCTTAGCCGTGAAACCAACTCCTGTAGCGGCAGTCGCGGCGGCAGCAATGGCTGACGGACTACCGGCAGGCGAGACGGACAGGCTTCTGGATCGGCCACCGGCAGCGATGGCGACGCCGGCGCCGTCATTCGCGGCGGAAGCGGCGGCGACGCCGCCGGGGACGGAGACGGAGATTGCGGGGAGAGCGGAGATGACGCCATCGGCGCGCAGTCGATCGGCAGACATGGATTCTGCCGCCGACATTAGGTCTGCCGCCACGGCTTCGGACGCGGCGCGCGCGACCGCCGCGATGGATAAGGACGGCGGCTCGTCATCCTCGGCGTGCTGCGCGGCGGATTTCGCCGCCGCGCGTTTCGACTTGGGGTTCTTTTTCGGCATGGGGAGTAGTTTCCGAGGAAAGTTAACGCGCTAGGAGCACTAATTGAGCTTTAAGAGGAGCAACTAAGAGGATCACGATTGGCTCCTCCTCGTCATGAAGCACGGAGCTCCATTTCACACGCCGTTTGACGTCATTTCATTTCGTCACCAGCTACACAACGGCCTCATAAATGAACACGATATCTACTCATCTCCGTTTCGCAATCAATTGAACGTCATTAGTTTCCACAGGCTACGATGGCATCATGAATAAACACGAGTAGGCTGCCTCTATCTGCTTTAGCCGGACGTAAGGGGCCGATAGCGCAACGGCAGAGCTTCAACGACACCATCAATAGACACTACTGGGCTGCTGGCATCGATATCATCGGTGTACGGTTGAAGGTGCCGGTTGTATGCGGATTGGTGAGGGTACTTCCGGATCGAGTGTCAGACCCGAGGTCGACCCGCGGCCGAAGGAGCCCCGGGCTGTCACAACCTAACTGCGGGTCTAGTGATCCTGACGGCGCAGCAGCGAAACTGCATCAATAGTCGCAAAAGTGAGTCGCCAAAGCGAATTGAGACAGTGCATTGGGCGGACGACGTCTAGCCCTCCATTTCTGCATCAGTGCGCGCCAATGTAAACTGTCAGCTAGTCGTGCTTATCCAGTCAAACAACCGTCAAGAGTCGCAAGACCCAAGGCATTTTTTTCCACCGCGGGTCTTCTGACAGCACCCTCGGGTCAGACCCGAGGCTCCAGAATTATCCTGAGTGAGCTGGCCCGCTGTCTGCTGATCACCCGACAATACCAGTGTTGTTTGTTATTGGAATCTTACAGAACCTGCTACACCTTATAACGAGTAGCAAAATGAAAGGGTTTAGTTGAGAACGAATGTAACAGAACCCTTAGTATCACAAATATGCTGAAGACCGCCATCCAACCTACTTTGCATCGCACTACAGGCGGTTAATCGATACGAACCACTGGCCGTCGGATCCGAGTTTTGCAATCAATCGAACGGGTTCCAGGCTCCAGTACTTCTCGTGTTGCCAGCGTCATGGTTCCAAGTTCCAACCCGAAGTTTTCGTGCACCGCTTACTCTTGTGCTTCCCTCCCCTCGCTACTCCCCTCCCCACATGGCCTCTTCACGCCCTAAATCTGGGTCCACTACTCCTACCTACCTACCCTCTCCCGTCATTTCTCGTGCGACCCAGCAAAGCCTCCTACATTAGATTCACCTTTACGTCCCTCCCCCTTTATTCTCATGCCGCCAATGGAAAGGTGTGGCTTCCATGGCTGCTTCGATGCACGATGCCATGCAACAGCCATCTTCGAGTCATATCACGTGCAGATTCACACCTTCGAAATCTCCATGGCCATAGCGATATCTTCAATGTATGTCTCAGCGACAAACTACCGACGCCCCCGCCGGCGGTCCAACCTCATGCTGCAGGTGGTCCCTGCTCCGCTAATTCTCAGTGACACATCGCTTTAGGCTTCAACATGCGACCCTTTTGCCAGAAAGCATACTAGCATGACACGAGTCAGACGGCGAACACATCCGCCGGGATTACCTGTCCACATGCGTCGATTGCGGCAAATGATCACGCGCGCGTCGCGCATCTCCACGGCATCATCAGCACGCAGTTTGACAAAGGCATTTCCCGCGGCGTCCTCTGTGCCCCGAGCTTGAGTCGCGCGGTCATCCGCATCTCCAGCGCTTTGCGCTGTTACGGTATCGTCTGCTTCTGCCTAGAAAATGCTCACATTACCTCATTTCCGTCTCCAAAGTCGTGCCCACCTCCTGATCGAACGAACGACATCTTTTGTCCGACGTTTTCTTCCGTCTTGTGTTTCGTGCTCTGCACACATCTGAAATGGCGACCGGCACCAGATTCGCGTCCTCTCTCGGTTACCTCAAGTTCGCATGGTCAAGGGGCATGGCGGCGGCTGCGCACGGCGGGAATGGCGGCGGCGGAGCTATTTCCAAGGAGACGGCCTCTCAGATTCAGAGCGCAACTGCAAAGATGGGAGGCGGCGGGGGTAACTAAAGGATCCGCTGCGGCTGCGGCGCAGAGAGCTGCAGACGCGCCGTCTAAGGTGACTGAGGAGGATGTAGCGGCACTCCAAAGCTTTGCTGCGAAGACAGGCGGAGGGGTAGAGAAGGGTTCGCCTGCAGCGCAGGTTCAGAGCACGGCCGCTAGTAACCAGGGAGAGTAGAGTTGGTCGCGGCGCGGAACAGGGCAAGGCGAGAGCCTTTGCTGCGAAATAGCCTTGCTTCGTTCAACTTCGGTGCTTGGGTTGCTTGCTACTTGGTGACTAAAGAGAAATTTCTGAACCAATTTCCATCCAAAAGCACTACACCTAGGTGCAGATCCAGTACTGAGTAGTTCATACTATGTGGTGTTGTCTTAGAATTGATCATAAGCACTCTGCTTCCTACACTGAAGAAAGTAGAAATGTACGTCATATGCCCTTCTGTTGTGGAACATTTGTCCCCCGGTTTCTCTGAGAATATGGTGGGATAGTAAAGAAGAAATGTGGTACCTTGCATGTCCTACACGAGCCATGAAACATGCGTGGAGCATATAGCATGGTTGAGTGCGGTTATATGTGGAATCTGGGTGGTTTGAGCACGGAAAGGCACTAGAATTACTAATTAGGTAGATGGCAACGCTCATATATGGGTGATCAAGGTATGAGTTGTAGGTAAGGTTTGTTAATTGTAGTTTTAAATACACTGAAGACTGGCATCCAGCCCACTCTGACGCTGTATTGAGAGACCCTACAACAATACCGAAACTGACCGTCGGATCCGAGATCCGCGATCAATCGAACGGGTTTCAGGCCCGACCCAACCTTGAAACTACTGTAACTCTTGTGCTTCCCCCTCGCTCCCTCCCTCCCTTCTCTCATGGCCTCCACACGCCCTAAATCCCGCTCCGCCATCCTTCCCTACCACGCGTTTTCTTTTCAGAGTTACAGTATAGTGGTCCCACCCTCCCAACCGAACATAGGTTCGGTTTCAGTTCACCCCTCATTCGTCGCTCTCTATTCTCATACGGAAAGTGTGCTCGCCATGGCTTCGCGTCAAGCGGGCCGACACCATGCCATGCAACAGCCGACCTTCGTGCCATATCTCATGCAAGCTAGCATTTTCGAGATTCTATGGCGAGAGCTATCGTATAGATTCAATAGTGGTCCAGCCTCAACCTGCTGGTGGTCCCTGCGTCCTGGAAGCTCAGTGACTTAGCGCTCGCGGCTGCTTTTTAACATGCAAGAGCAGCCTCCTAACGAAATGTATAGCAGCGCGACATCATGAACGCGCGGTGACTTAGCGCTCACGGCTGCTAGCAGGTGACATCATGCAGGAGCAGCCTCCTCACGAAATGTATAGCAGCGCGACACCAGTCGAAGAGTTACCCACGTTCACGTGAATACCTTGCTCCCATGCGTGAAAGGGTTCGCTTTCTCTATCTGCGCATCGAGCAAGAGTCGCGCATCGATGAATGCGGCTCGCTTGAAATCTCAATGGCGATTCGGGTTGCCGCGCTTCGAATGTGGAAGACCCAGCACCCTACACGGAGCCTTCTTTTGCCTTGAAAAACCCGTTGTTCTGAAGATATCTCGCACTTCACCAGGAGGCAGCCAGGCCCTGCTCTCGCACACCTTGGAGACCCACTTTCGAGCATTCTCGTCAGCGGCATTCGTTCTACCTTACTCGCAGCCGATCATCGAACCCTGTGATTACGCCATGACTAAGGGCGGCGGTGGCGGAGGCGAAGGCGGACACGGCGGCGGTAGCCACGGCGGCGGAGGAAGCCATGGCTGAGGCGGACACGCCGGCGGTGGCGGGCACGCCGGTGGAGGCAGACACTCTGGCGGGGGCGGACACGCCGGCGGGGGCGGGCACGCTGGCGGGGGCGGGCATACTGGCGGGGGCGCACATGCTACAGGTGGCGGACACGCCGGGGGCGCTCACGGCGGCGGTGGACACGCTGGGGGTGGTGCTCACGGTGGCGGCGGCAGTCATGGCGGAAGGATCTCAGGGAAAACCGCTTCAGGGATTCAGAGCACGGCCGCCCGCATGGGGGGAGGCGGGGTTGCCAAGGGATCCGGCGCTGCTGCGGCACAGCGAGCTGCGGCTGCCCCGTCCAAGGTAACCGGGAGCGATGCTGCAGCACTGCAGGGCTTCATTGCGAAGACATCTGGGGGAGTGGCGAAGGGATCCCCTGCGGCACAGGTTCAGAGCATGGCCGCGCATAACCAGGGGAACTAGGTCGTAGCAGGGCTGGGTTTTTGGCTGGAATTCTTTTTGCACGAAGTGCCTTAGACCTTGTGGTCAGGTAGTTGTCTTGTGCATGTCATGCTAGTTCTTCTACAGTGGACCTGATGGCTCGCGTCATGTGTTCAGCCAACAAAAGAGACCACACTTGCTCGTAGTACATATTGTTTTAGACAAACGCAAACTCCGCTAAGCATCTTGTAGTGCATTAAGCGAAAAAATGGCCCATCGTTTACAAGAATAGTTGCACTTTTTGTAGTTGCACCTCGTATGATCTGTATTCGCATCGCAATGTCAACATTTGTTACATTTCATGTAATTCTCTTATTGGCGTCCCACCTCTCGACCTTCTGTTGTGTGCAATGCCCTTATTGGTGTAATTGCCTGCGGAACTCGATTGGTCGAGATTCCAACCGTCTGGCATTCAATCAGACGAATCACTGCGCCTCTATACCCTCCATTTTCGGGAGATATTCAGCAATCTGTCTCCTATCGACGTGTAATGCTCTCATGCTGAGTCGGACGCCAAGCGACCCGATACAGTGCGAGTCACCCAACCCAACCTAGCCCAAACCAACCCGACCAGATTGAATATATCCTGGAATTCTTGCTTTGATGCAGAAATTTGGAGTTCAGCTGTCGGCTTCGCCCCTAGCCCTCCCCCTCCTCCCACCTCCCTCCCCCCTTCCCTGACCAGTGCGCCCTTTCCAATAAATCGCCACCCACCCCCCTCCCCTCTCCACCCCACCCCAACCCACTAAAACCTACCGAATCCCTTTTTCCCCTTCCCTTCCCCCTCATCCCCCGCTCCGCCAATCGAGATGCGCCATCCAACGGGCGCCTGTACCCCAGCCAGAGCCAAGCAGTCTCTGCTGCTCCCTCGCGTCTGCCTTCAAAAAGGTCATCATTCGCCACTTCGTGCAGTGCTCGAGAGGACAATTTTGAGGACCGCCGAAGCCTGCATCCTCTTTTCCTTCACCTGCCGCCCGCAAGCACCTCTCGCTCTAGCACTATGGCGGCCATTCTTCGGATTCCGGCTCCGCTCTCCACCTATCGCCTCACTCCGGTCTGCAAAGGCCGCGGCGGTGGAGGCGGAGGCGGAGGCAAGGGCGGCGGTGGCGGAGGCAAGGGCGGCGGTGGCGGCGGGAAGAGCGGCGGTGGCGGCGGAAAGGGCGGCGGGATTTCCCAACAATCCGCTGCGCAAATTCAGAGTCAGGCTGCGCGCCAGGGCGCAGCGGGAAAGGGCTCCCCCGCGGCTGCGGCGCAGCGCGCAGCGGATGCGCCGTATAAGGTGACATCGCAGAACGCGGCGACGATTCAGAGCTTCACGGCGACGACTTACGGAGCGGTTGAGAAGGGTTCGTTTGCGTCGGAGGCTCAGAGCCAGGCTGCGGCAAACGACAAGTAAGGATGAGAGTGCGATATTTTGTTTACGGTGCGGCCTGTGTTGTTCTGGCTGGCTGTGTAATTAAAGGTGTGATAGGTGATATGGGATTTGTATTTAGTATGCACGGGCAATTGCAATCGTATGATTGCTTTATGAGCACCGTTCGAAGATAATTGACTCTGACCTCAAGCCAGACTGCCTCGAGACATGTGTGGTGCAATATGTAAGTTGTATGTGGCCAACTTCAACCGAGTACAAATTCTTACTCTCATAACGGGTTGCCGATGCTGCTCTGGTTATTAGCTTTATAACGGGTATAAAGGCTGCAACTGAATGTGGGCAAAGCCTATGCCATGCCATGGCATGCAATGCGACCCCAACTTCCATTATGTGGAATCATCAAGCCAGCATCAACTTCCAACTTACAGCAAACCTAGAAAGCTAACAGCTATACCGGACCGCGTATTATAACCAACACCATGCAGGAGCTAACCGCATGCCGTGCGATGCGAGTGCAAATGTTGTGAAGCCATCGTGCAAGAATAATGTACGACCCGATATGTTTAACCCTCGCATGGAATTACCTTTTCACGCCATGAGCACGGCTTGGTCATGCGACATGACGAGTCCAAACATACCCGCTGTAGGACCCGTGCGAGACGTTCTCGAGAAGTTCCAGAAAGGAGACAATACACACCCGCTGTCGCATCCGCGACCCGAGCAGTGTCCGTCGTGCGAGTCGCCTTCACGTGACAGTTCGCTTGAAGCCTGTAACTGGAACTCGAACGACGCCCCTCGCTAGAGAGGATTCTTCTCGCACGCGATTCTTTTTATAAAGGTGCTGGTATTTTTCATTCCTACGCAGAAGACCCGACGATCGTTTTCAAAACCGCGGTCGAGCTATTCCTGTTTGATACTCTCAGCACGTCCTGTGTTCTTACCTCGACATCCTGAAATGACGACTGTCGTGCGAATCGCGGCCTGTCATGGCTGCCTCAACGTTCGGATGATGGCCAAGGGTGGGGGAGGCGGAGGCGGGGGAAAGGGCGCAAGCAGCGGCGGCGGCAAGGGCGGAGGAAAAGGCGGAGGGGGAGGCGGAGGCAAGAGCGCCAGCAGCGGCGCTAAAACCGGCGGCGGCGGCGGTAAGAGCGCCCCCATTTCCGGCAAGACTGCGTCCCAGATCCAGAGTTCCTCCGCGAAAATGGGCGGCGGAGCGGTGGCGAAGGGTTCCGCCGCAGCCGCGGCGCAGCGAGCGGCGGCTGCGCCGTCCAAGGTAACCGGCGGCGACGCAGCGGCTCTACAGAGCTTCACGGCGAAGACGAGCGGAGAAGTTGCTAAGGGATCGCCTGCGTCTCAGGTTCAGAGCACAGCGGCGGGAAATGAGGCGGGAAAGGGGGAATAGGTCAAGCAGGGGCAGAAAGATGAGGGCGAAATTGTACGCGTTTGTCTCTGTCCCGCGTTTTCTTGTTAGCGTACCATGTGAAAAAATGTGTAAACAGAAGTGCAGAACACTAGTGACCAGATTGCATGACAACTTTCATAGATGCCAAAAAGAGAGATCATGAGGAACAAAGCAAGCAACCCATGTGTTAGTGTCTTCCAAATCACCTTCAGCCGTTCTCCGGTATAGAAATGCAGGATGTTAGCAGAACCTTGGCACTCCTAATTAGGTATGTAAACCCGGTGCTGCTTTGACCACAGCACTACTAAAGCTGCGGGAGCTTATTTTTGAACATACTTGGGACAAGCGGCCATTCCTCCCTAGTCGGGAGTGGTCTGTTTGCTGCTTCTGCAGCAGTCATTAGAATGCTTCATTCTTGAAAGTAGTTGGGTTTGACAGCAAGCACCCGTTCCTCCAGGACCGTGGGCAGGCTTGTCGAAAGTAATGTTGAGTCCTAACTCAAAAGTTATTCTTGGACATAGTTGGGGTTCACAGCAAGCACCCGTTCCTCCAGGGCCGTGGGCAGAGGTTTGTCAAAAGTCGGAAGTGGTTCCCCTGCTGCTTCTGCAGCAGCAATTGCATCCTCCCGCTGCTTCTTAGCAGCTTCCACGGCCGTTGTCCCGTCGTCTAGAATCAGCAGCACACCCTCCCGACGAATCAGATGCTGCCACATCAGAAACAACAATCAGAATGAAAGAACAGCACCACCAAAGCAAAAAAGTTGCCAAACTGGGCCCTAAAGTTGCCAAACTGGGCCCTAAAATTGCCAAACTGGGCCCTACTGCTCTCCTGTTACAACGACCCACACAGTCGTGAGGAGTCTACTTTTTAGGCGCCTCAAAGGTTGCCAAAGTGGGCCCTCCTGCTCTCCAGTTACAACGACCCACACAGTCTATCCAGCAAGCCTCTCGCCTGTATGATGGATCGCATCACCTCCCCTGCTCCACACCCCCTTGCTTCACTCCTCCCAGCCATCCTGTTACAACGACCCACACAGTCTATTCAGCAAGCCTCTAACACGTATGATCTATCGGAGCACTCGGAACTCGGACAGCAGATTGCCCAGAGTCAACGGTGCCTGCTTGACTCTGCTGCTCCATGTACCACCACATCACATCCCCTTGCTTCACACCCCCCTGCAACACTCCTCCCTGCTATCCTCTTAACCGTGCCCACACAGAGTGACAAGCGAGCCTCTCACCTGGATGATCGATCGCAGCACTCGGAACTCAGTCAAGAGATTGCCAACCGAGTCCACAGCACCGGCCTGGCTCTGCTGCTCCATGTACCACCGCATCACATCGCCCTGCTTCACACCCCCCCTCCCACACCCCCATACACCCCCTCCACTCGCCTCCTCTTCCTCTTTCCCCCTCCCCTTCCTCTGCTTCTCGTCCCTCATCCCCTCCCCTCTCCCCCTCGTCCCCACCCTCGCCTGCAGTGGCTGGTTCATCTGCTGCAAGTGAAGCTTCCTCGGAAGCTTCCTCCGCCTCCTTTTGTCTTATATACGTGACAAGGAGCGCCGTCACTCGCTGCAGCTTGTCGTACGGCACTCGCAGAGGGGCGGCAGGTTTCGTCTTCTTCTGGCTCCCCTCTGCTGCGTCCCCTTCCTCCTCATCCCTTTCCTTGGCCTTTCCGTTGGCCGTTGCCCCTTGCCCCTCACCCTCTCGCATGGCCTCATCATGCCCCCCCACCCCTGCCTCACCCTCTTTACTCCTATCGCCTTCCCCTGCATGCCCATTCCCATCTGTCTCCATGCCCTCCCTTCCTCCTGATGCCTCTTCTCCTGCTCCTCCTCTCCCCCCTGCGCCACCACCATCCCCACTGCCTCCGTCCCCTCCTCCCCTCTCCCTCCCCCACCCCCTCCCCCTCCCCCTCCCCCATCGCCCCCATCATCCCCCCCATCATAAACGGCATGTCTTCCATGCCCTCCTCCCCCTCCTCATTCGCCCCTCGTCCTCCAAGTCCACGTCATGGCTGTCAATGCTGTGATAAGAGTCAACAGGAGTCAACAGGGGTCAACAGGGGTCAACAGGGGTCAGCAGGTGTCAACAACGGTCGTTGCACAGGACAGAAAACGCACCTTACAGAAAGGACCGCACTATGTGGCTATAGGTGCCTCAGAATATTGAACCAACTCACCTGATGGACGTGCTGATTGAGACGTCTCAAAACCCACCTGATAATTGATGTTCGGATTTTTGAGATGCCTCAAACCTCACCTCATGATCGACGTCCGGATCTTTCAGACGTTTCAATAAAAAGTCACCTAATGATCAATGTGTTGATTTTTGAGACCTCTCTAAGCTCACCTGATGATCGATGTGCGGACTTTTGAGAAGTCTTATCCAGGTCAAAGCTCACCTGATGATCGATGTGCTGACTTTTGAGACGTCTCATCTCATCTAAGTCAAAGCTCACCTGATGATCGATGTGCTGACTTTTGAGACGTCTCATCTAAGTCAAAGCTCACCTTATGATCGATGTGCTCAGCAGCCTCTTGGCTTCGCGCACATGAGCTGGCTTCACCTGATTGGTTGTTCAGTGCACAGCGCACACACATGGGATGGAGTGAAATGGGGCAAAAGGGGGAAATAGCGTGATGGGGGGAAAGCAGGGATGATGAGATCAGTTGCAACAGAAACTAAACACGATTTCCAAAGTCCCAAATCGTTAAGAACCGAAATCCTCCCCCTGAACATGCCCATCAAACCTCTCCCACTCTCCTGTAGGTTCTAGTGAATCCTTGCCAGAGCCCCTGGCAGCCCAGCCAGAGCCCCTGGCAGCCGCACTAGCGCCTCCAGCTGTCCCTCTGCTCATGCCTGCTCATGTCCCTTTCTATTGCATTCCTGCCGTCATGCATCCCACCTGTGAGACCAACTGCAGCCCAGCCACAGCAGCCGCACGAGCGCCTCCAGCTGTCTCAGCTCACACCTGCTCATCACACTCACCCATCAGTGCGTATCTATCTACAAGCCAGACCACTGCACCCACCTGTGAGTCTAAGGGCAGCCGTGCCAAAGCCTCTGACAGCCGCACAAGCGCCTCCAGCTGTCGCTGCCCACACCTGCTCCTCACAAACACGCCCAGCCCATTCACACTCGTAAAGCACCCACGATCACGGCACCCAACCGACTGCCCACCTGTGAGTCCAGGTGCAGCCGAGCCAGGGCCTCTGACAGCCGCACGAGCGCCTCCAGCTGTCTTCGCTCACACCTGCTCACCCTTTCCGGCACTGTCGCTGGCTGTTCTGCAGCCCAGTCCCCGCCTACCAACCACCCACACCCACCCACCCACCTGTGAGTCCAGGTGCAGCCGAGCCAGGGCCTCTGACAGCCGCACGAGCGCTTCCAGCTGTCGCACCGTGATTCGGTACGAGGACCGCGACCCCGGGGCTGCGTCACCCCGTCTCAAGGAGACGTAGGCCTCCACCAGGCGGGTCTTGGCGTCCTCTGAGATCTGATGGTGGGGGGAGGGGTGGGGGGTGGGGGGGTTGGTTGAAAAGACAGGCAGGGAGACCCCATTGGGGGACTACAGGATTGAATGGGTGGACTCAGCATCACCCCGGGGCTGCGTCGCCTCGTCTCAAGGAGACGTAGGCCTGTACCAGCCAAGTCTTGGCGTCCCCTGGGATCTGATGGTGGGGCAGACAGGTAGGGGAGAGGGAGGGGGGTTCATGAAGCCATCAAGGCAAGCATGAATTCTCCCATGATCCCATCTGCCCGAGTAAGCATTGTTGCCATTTTTAAGGCAAGCATTGTTGAGAATTCTCAAAAAGGACACGAAGCCCGAGTATGTGGGTGAGCTGGATATGTCCACGGGGTGGCGTCGTCCCGTCTCAGCAACATGTAGGCTGCTAACAGGCGTCCTCTGTGATCTGCTGCTGGGGGGGAGAGAGAGGGGGGAAGGCGTTGCGACTTGGCAGGAGGCAGGAGAAGATGACCTCGTGGCGTCACCCCGTCTCAATGACGCGCATGCCTCTACCCGGGGGGTCTTGGCGCCCTCTGAGACCTGATGGTGGGAGGCGTCCTGCCATGTCTGTACCACACCGCCTACCTAATGCAAGGATATCTTGGAAAGCGAGGGGGGTAGGGGGGAGAAGGGGGGGGGTTGGGAGCCAGGGTCGCAAGATGGACTCAGAAGTTTAGGCTTAGGGTTTAGGCTAAAGGTTAATGCTAGGGTTCAGGCTAAAGGTTAATGCTAGGGTTCAGGCTAAGGGCTATATAACGCTTTTAGCAATCTCACGAGCGCACCTCTGGTCGGATGGAGCGCACGAACTCGATGTATTTCTGCAGCTGAAGGGTTGAGAGCTCCGGCTGCAGGGCTCTGTCCCGGCTCTGATGCACACTCAGAATGTGCCTGGGACTGCTGCATGCTCCCAGACTATTTCAAAGCCACATGCATGTTCGACTATTTTGAAGGCATACCTCTGGTCGGATGGAGCGTGCAAACTTTATGTATTTCTGCAGCTGCAGGGTTGAGAACTCTGGCTGCAGGGCTCTGTCCCGGCTCTGATGCACGCTCAGAATGTGGCGCGCCACGGAGTAGTCGTGGACCGGGTCCGGTGTGTCGAGCATCACGTGCACCAGATCGAAACGGGACAGGATGGCTGGTGGGAGTGCGACATTGTACTGGTGGGGGGCCAGGAAGGGGAAGAAGCAGGGAGACTGCTGAGGGGGCAAGTCGTGGCGAGCGACGGAATGGTCATACATGGCGCACTGGATCCGGCGTGTCCTGCATAACGTGGACCAGATCGAACCGAGAGAGGGTGGCTGGTGGGAGAGCCACGTTGTACTGGTGGAGGGGGGAGGGGACGAGGGGAGCTAGCAACAGAGGGCAAGAACAGAGTGGTGCTGATGCGCGCTCAGACTGTGGCGTGCCACTGAGTGATCGTGAAGGCGTGTCCAGCATAACGTGAACCAGGTCGAAACAGGACAGGATGGCTGGAGGCAGAGCCACGTTGTTCTGGAAGGGAGGGTAGGGAGGGGGGAGGAGGAGGGGGAAGAGCTTGGGGGCGGGAAGGCACTTGGAGCGGTCCTACCTTCCCCCAGTAGGGTTGGCAGCAGCGAGGATGGAGGTGCGTGCGTTGAGGGTGGCTCGATGAACTCATGCAACGGGTCAGGAGTGGTTATGGCCTACCCTAAGGGGTTTCTTACGCTAAGGGGTCCCTTACCTTAAGGGGTCCCTTACCTTAAGGGGTCCCTTACCCTAAGAAGTCCCTTACCCTAAGGGGTCCCTTACCCTAAGGGGTTTGGAGCGGTCGTATCTGCCCCCAGTGGGGTTGGCAGCGGCGAGTATGGACGTGCGGGCGTTGAGCGTGGCTTGGATGCCCGCCTTGGTGATGGAGATGGTCTGCTGCTCCATGGCCTCGTGAATAGCCACCTGCAAATGTGGGTGTGTGTGGTTGTGAGATGTATAGGGAGCGGACAATTGCTTGGAGGTGGGTGCATCGAGAGCGGCTTGAGTGCCCGGCTTCGTGATCGAGATGGTCTGCTGCTCCATGGCCTCATGGATCGCCACCTGCACGCATGGGGGTGGGAAAAACAGGGAGAGGAAGAATGTGTGTTGTTAGGAGGTGCATGGATCGCCACCTGCACGTGTGTGTGGGAGTGGGAGATGGGGAGTGGAGGGAGCAGAACACTCGTGAGAAGAAGAGCAGAGAGTGCAGTGCAGAATGCTTGTCAGGAAGAGAGAGAGCGCTTCGCAGCGTGACCAGGTGCCAGCTTGGCCAGCTTGTGAATAGCGCAACGCAACGCAGTCCATTCACAAGCTTGATCGTTGATGTCCATTTTAGATGCCATAAACCACCAGCATCGGCCCGCCAGCTATGGTGGTGGTAACCTGTTCACTACATTCAGTCCCACTCACCTGATCCTTTATATCCATCTTATCAAACTCATCAATGCAGCAGATGCCGTTATCAGCCAGCATCAGAGCCCCAGCCTCAATGCAGAACTCCCCTGTCTCTGGCTCTTTAACCACGGAAGCTGTCAGGCCCGCCGCACTGCTGGACTTGCCAGAGGTATATACCGCACGGGGCAAGAATCCAGCCACATATCTGGTAAGGAAGGAGGGAGGGAAGGGAGAACACATAGTGAGGGGAGGGCACAATTTGAGAGTCCTTGCTTCAAAGCAGAGCTTCACGCTGTCTTGGGCTCCTTCTCCACGCTTGCTATCAGCCCCGCATCACGCTCCCGTGGCGTATAGAACCGCCACGCATCTAATAAAACACATCGGCTACTCACTTAACGCCCAGATCCCAAATTAGTTCACACAAGTCAACGGGCAGAATTTGGGCTGGGCGGGTGGAAGAAACAATTGTGTTATTGGGTGCGAAACCATGTCACTTCGCGCAGGATTTCGTACGCAAAGTGGGCCCAGTTTGATTTGGGGGGAGATCAAGTTGGGCCAAACGCGGATCTGACGGCTGAGACGCAGGGACACATGAAGTCCCAACTTGTAAGCACAGTTATATCCGTCGATTGGAAAACTAGCGAGAGCATGGTTTTGTGGAAGTTGGGTTCGGCAAGCCCAATCCAGCACCGAAAACTGCACGAATCAAACTGGCCCCAGTTTGCTTACGAATTTTCCACCGTAGATATCTCAACCTCGATTTTGCGTCTCACTGTGGCGAAGGGGGAGTTGCTTCTTTTTTTCGTTGGGTGCTTCGCAAGCGCAGTCAGCATCAAACTGGGCCCAGTTTGTTGCCTGCTAGACTAATTTGGGACCTGGGCTTTAAGGAACTGGGGCTTGGCGCTTGAAGGGTCCCCCACAGCTCACATGTTGTTTCCTGCATGTCCGGCAGCCAGATTCACCCCTGGAATAGACGCTGACAGACATCTCATAAAACACATCAGCTACTCGCTTGAGGAACCGCAACTTGGCGCAGGAAGGGTCCCCCACGACGCACATGTTGATATCCCCCCGCAGGTTGATGCCCTCGTGGGTCTTCTTGTGCACGTCCCCCCCCATAACATATTGAAGCGCCTCACAACCACACCACAGCTGATACTCACCTGAGGAACTGGGACTTGGCACACATAAGATCCCCCACAACGCAACAGAGGTCCCCCACGACGCAACAGAGGTCCCCCACGACGCAACAGAGGTCCCCCACGACGCAACAGAGGTCCCCCACGACGCAACAGAGGTCCCCTCGTAGCATGTTGGAGGGCCTCACGACCACGACCATACCACAGCAGGCACTCACTTGAGAAACTGGGACTTGGCGCACGAGGGGTCCCCCACGACGCACACGTTGATATCGCCCCTGAGGTTGATGCCCTCATGGGTCTTCTTGTGCACGCCCCCAAACAGCATCAGCAGGATGGCACGCTTGATGTCCGCATGCCCGTACACTGAAGGTGCGACGCTCGCCACCAGGCGCTCATACAGGTTGCCGCCAGCCCTCATGCGAGCCATCTCCTCCCTCTCCTCGGGCTGGTATAGGAGGGAGGGAGTGATAAGGGGAGGGAGGAGGGGGAGAGGAGTAAGTGGGGATGTCAGCATGCGCGTGCACAGAGGGTGCCACACTAGCCATCAGTCTCCTGTCGGTTGCCGCCTGCACGCACGGGAGCCATCTCCTCTAGCTACTCAGGCTGGGGGGAAGGGGAGGCATAGGGGCAAGGGATTGCTCGGTTAATGTCAGCAAGCCCGCAGGCTGAGGGGGCCCCGCTGGCTACCAGCCGGTCAGAGTGGTTGCCACGTGCCCTCATGCGAGCCATCTCTCCTGCTCCTCGGGGGTTAGAAAGGGGGGGTGGAGGGGGGAGGGACAGACTGCCGCTCATAGGGGGGAGCACTGCCACAGCACTGCCCTCATTCACGCATTCGCTTCGGTCATGGCTGCAGTAGGGTGCAGTGAGGTGCAGCGAGGTGCATGCGTGAATGAGGCCACAGCACTGCCCTCTTCATCCTCCGCCCTGATGTTCACCAGCTGCTTCTCCTGATCCCCCGACTGCACAGAACATGCTGGGGCTGCTGTACCGCCCTACTGCACTACACCGCACTGCACCACAGTGCATCATACTGCACTCCAACGTACCGTAAATGAGGCCACCGCACTTCCCTCCTCGTCCTCCGCCCTGATATTTACCAGCTGCTTCTCCTGATCCCCTGACTGCACAGAACACGCCAGAAAAGCCAACCGGTACGACAGATCCCTCACCCCCAACGCCTTCAGCCCCCGCACCCCCTCACTAGCTCCTCCCCCCGCCCCCCCTCCCCCTCCGCCCAACAGCTCCCCCCCTCCCCCGCCCTCCCCCCCTCTCCCGTCCCCCTGCTGCTTCGACCTCTGTGCCTCCTGCCTCTCCCCCGGCCGAGTCAACGCCGCCACGTCAGGCACAACCACCAAAGTCCCTGAAAAGATGCACTTGTCGCCGGCACGCGCTTGCTCGACTAACTCGTGCCTGAGAATCACGTCTAGAGTGCGGGGGAGGGACCCTGGAGGAACCTCGTCTGCGTTCTCCTGTACTCTGACTCTCTGCCAATCCACAAACTGGCACTCTGTGCGCTCTAGGGCCCATTTTTCTCTGTTAGAGCACGCTGCGTTACTGCATATGATGGGCTGCGTGTACTTGAATTGTTGCTCTATGTTCCGCTGCACTGAGCCGCACTCCAAGCATCGGAACGTGCCGTACAGCAGCTCCGGCCGGACCTCGGAGGTTCGGACGACCACACCGCTGACTGCAGATAGCTGGCCTAGCACTTCCACCTTCATATCTCTCAGCCTAGAAGGGAGCAACGGCATGGGGGAAGGGGGGGGGGATGACAACATAGGATAACCACACCAATCACCCTGGATACCTGGCCTAGCACCTGAACCTTCATGTCTCGACGCCTGGAAAGGGGGAGGGAGAGGAAAAGGAGGGTGGAAGAGGATTAGGAGGGGATATGATAACCATATGACAATACTGCTGACTGCTGATAGCTGACCCAGCACCGCTGACTGGATGTCACGAAGCCTGCATCCAGGAGCCTCACTTGTGCATGACGGGGAGGTTGTAGAAGGCGAGGTATTGGGCTTGCCCTCATCCATGACATACTACTTGGGCTCGTGCTCCTGAACGAACACCTGACCAAACACCTGACCAAACACCTGACCAAACACCTACGGTTTCTCTGAGTCAATCCAATCGGCTCACTTGTGGATGACGGGGAGGTTGTAGAAGGCGAGGTAGAACTCCTTGGGTTTGCCCTCGTCCATCACGTACTTGGGCTCGTGCACCTGCACAAACATCTGCACTGCCTTGCGCAGAAACGGCTCAAACCTGCATGCATGCACGCATGCATGGTGCAGACACATCCATGATCCATGCAAGCATGCATGGCACAGGTACGTGAAGCAGACATGAGCACGCGGCAGATGCATGTGCGCATAAATATCATGCAAAAATAGAAAAAAAAAACAAGATCCACACAAAAAACAAACGTAGAGTTTATGGTTCCCTCCGTCTCTCCTTAGCCCCCTTTCCCCGACTTACTGCTAGAAATCCCTCACCCTTCGGTTCCAAATGCAAAACCACTCCCTCCTCCAAGACCCCTTCTCCCCCACTATAACCCCCCTTACCTCCCTCCAAAACTCTCACCGGTAAAACTCCTCCAGTATGGCAGTGACGTGCGAGCACCTGGTTGTCGTGGGCCATGAGCGTGTAAAAGTCCTCCCATTCCCATCCCTCCCTCCAAAACTCTCACCAGTAGAACACTTCCAGTACAGCGGTTGCGAGCACCTGGTTGTCGTGGGCCATGAGCGTGTAAAAGTCCTCCCATTCCCATCCCTCCCTCCAAAACTCTCACCAGTAGAACACTTCCAGTACAGCGGTTGCGAGCACCTGGTTGTCGTGGGCCATGAGCGTGTAAAAGTCCTCCCATTCCCATCCCTCCCTCCAAAACTCTCACCAGTAGAACACTTCCAGTACAGCGGTTGCGAGCACCTGGTTGTCGTGGGCCATGAGCGTGTAAAAGTCCTCCCATTCCCATCCCTCCCTCCAAAACTCTCACCAGTAGAACACTTCCAGTACAGCGGTTGCGAGCACCTGGTTGTCGTGGGCCATGAGCGTGTAAAAGTCCTCCCATTCCCATCCCTCCCTCCAAAACTCTCACCAGTAGAACTCCTCCAGCACGGCCGTGGCGAGCGCCTGGTTGTGGGTCATGAGTGTGGGGAAGTCGACATACATGCTCGTCTTGCCGTACTGCACCATGGCGTGCACCGGCTAGGTACCCACCTCCTCCTCGCCCTCTCCCTCTCCCTTCCCCCAATACTCGCCGGCAAAACCCCTCCCCCCCGTCTCCCCTTTACGCCTACTTCCCCCAATCCTGTTCCCCCCCCCCCCAAGTTCTCACCTATAGAACTCCTCGAGAACAGCCGTGGCGAGCGCCTGGTTGTGCGCCATGAGCGTGGCGAAGTCGACGTATATGCTCACTTGCTGTACTGCACCATGGCCCGCACCTGCTGCCTACCCACCTCCTCCTCTCTCCGCCCCCTCTTCCCAACCCTCCCCTTCCCTCCCTTCACGGGTAGAACTCCCCCTCTCCCGTCCCAGTCCCACATCCCCCCCCCCTTTGAACCTCCTCTACCTGACCCCATCCACTCACCTGTAGAATTCCTCAAGCACGGCGGTGGCGAGCGCCTGGTTGTGCGCCATGAGCGTGGCGAAGTCGACGTACATGCTCGTCTTGCCGTACTGCACCATGGACCTTAACTGCGCCACGTACTCGCGCACCATTGGCCCGTCCTCCTCCTCCTCCTGCTCGTCAACCCTCTGCTCCGTTCTGCCGTCCAGGTCATACCAGAAATCCACCCCAGGCCGTCCAGGTCAATTCCCAATAGCCAGCATTTACATTCCGGAATCCACCCCAATCCGTTCAGTTCAGGCCAATTCCCCATATCCAGCACCCATAAACCAAATTCAGATCCCAATGACCGGAATCCAGTTGCATTTGCCGTCACTCAACCGCAGTGAGATCCATAGAAAGTCATCATCCAAAGCAGCGGCCAGGCATCCACATTCTCATGACCCACACACGCCATCAGCCCCCAAAGAACAAGAAGAAAAAAAAAACGGAGAATTTATTTTCCAGCACGTGATGGTCACAGAGGCATTGAAATTCCTGCAATGGCCGTCTTGACTTACGTCACCGCCGTTTCAGCGCTCCCCAAATTCCCTCTTATCGCCGAATAAGACCTAGCTTCTCAAGAATCTACCACTTTCAGCTTACTGCGAGAACCCACAAGGAGACTCATTTCCTCTGAAAGCCCAATAATATAGCACGACTGTCTCTCTAGAGCTCTGCTTACGTCTGCAGGAAGTCGAAGAAGCTTCGCTGAACGTTCTCTCCCTGAGTGTCGACAGCTGAAGCGCGCGGGAAATCCGGTCTACCCTGACCACCGAAACCCCCTCCCACCTGAGCAGCACCGGCTCCGACTCCGTTCATAATGTCGAGATCTTGCGAAAAGGTCGGATCTGTAACTGACGCCCAGCGAAGGATTGAAAGATCCCCCAGCGAAGAACTATCTAGATTAGATGTGAATCTAAAATAAACGCTCAAATTCACGGTGCCAAACCGTCTAGGTTAACTTTGTCGACCATTCAGATTCGCTAAATGTGCTAGAAGATTAACTGACCGTTGCTAGGATCACGTACGAACGTAAAACTGACAAGGGAAAGGCCAGGCCTGAACTCAGACAAACTTCTGCTGACTCCGTTCGCGCCAAAACTGGCTTGTTTGGGATCAGGAGGGAGAGCAACCTTGCTGTTGTCAGGACTCCATACGCTTTACGGAGTGAAGACCCTATTCATTTTGGAATCATAAAATACAGTTCGATGAATACTGGACAAAGCAAAGGTTCTAATTGCAATCGCTCAAAGCAAAACTAGTAGTTCGGTTCAGTCAGGTTCGGGAGCGTTATTCGAGGCTCGTAAACCAGGTGAAACCGCAACACGGCGTTACCGCACCTGGGAACTTCGGCTATTTGTTAGGCCAAGCGTGAGGTTAGGCACTTCTGTTCACAACGCACCCTGCCTCGCTTCCCTCTAAAGAAAGTCCGAGCGTGTATGCCATGCCAGGGCGAACACCAGCCAACGTGCCCAAACCAGCTCCAATTGTTTTTCGAGCAGAGTAAGTTTCATCTGAATCGTCCGTTTTTTGAATCTGAGGCATGGACGGCTGAATATAACCGGAACGAAACGCACCTCCCGGAGGTGACCGACCAAGCGCCAACAGAGAAACCTTTCACCCAAGCACAGCTGACGAAGCTGCAATTTCGTAACGCTCTCGGAGCACGAACAGAGCGACAATTCGAGAAGGCTAAAGGGGGCAAAATAGAGGCCAACCAGAACAAATTCCGCTTCGACAATCAAGGATCCGAAGTTTTTCGGATTAAAATTCACTAACTTACTCTCTCTCACGTTCCTGGTCACCTTGTCTGATGCTCCGTAGAACAAGCAGTCATTATGAGGATTAGACCAAAGCACCTTATTGTGGCTGCATGCATCACCTTACTATTTCTGCCCTTCATCTGTGCTCCTGCTTCGAGCGCCGCGGCGGCAAAACCGAAATACAATGCGAAAGCGCACCTAACCAAAGTCCGAGCTGCGCTCAGGCGAGGGGGCTTTACGAAGTTCGACAAATACATCAATTCAACTGGTAGGGCGTCGCGCGGGTGACGCGGAGATATTGGTCCCAGCGAGCCCCAAATTCAACTCCCCTCATCTTCTCATCTTCCAGTTTGGCCGTCCGTCAATCTTAGAGAAATTACGACAAATCCACCATTTTATGTGGCTCCCTATCACAGGATTCCTACCCATTTTGCTGGACGTTATGAAGGAGTACAAGCTGACAATCCTGGCGCCGACAAACACTGCCTTCGCCACCGTTTCGGCGAGGAAGGACATGAAGAATCCCAAGCACGCGATTCAGATAATTGGCTATCATTTCCTCGTCGACAAGCACAGCTTCGCTCAGCTGATCAAATACAAAACCGGGACCCAGGTAAGACTTTTAGCGTTTGCAGATTAGCTGAGTGGTGAACGTTAAGGCAAAACGTCTTAGGTGTTATGTGCTCCCTCATCCCCCGCCATCAATTGCATTTCCTAACCACCATCATTATCCAACCCTGCCTTCTTTCAGTTTTCTACACTGAACTATCGGCAGAAGATTCAGAAGGTTCAAGCTAAACGGGGGCAGGTCCGTTTGGGCCCCAAGTCAGGTGCTAAGTACGTTGGAAAAATCGTCAGGAAAGACCTCTACATTTCGACCCTTGATGCTGTTCATGGAGTAGATACAGTAATTAGACCCCCCTATTTGAAATAGGGATGCAGCAGAGTGTAATGGTATGCATGTCATGTAGTAGTTGCTCTTTTGGGGATGAGGTGGTCTAAACGTAGTGGTCTAATCCATTTGCATGCCATTTGACAAGGCAGGTTTGAATAGTGAGCGGACAAGCTAACTTATGGAGGTTTTCTAGCCTCAAGAGAATGTGTAAATCATAATTGGACTGGCACTCATGCTGAATAAAAAATATTGTTGAAAGCGTAAGCATCTCATCTAATTTTTTTAGAGGCGGAACTGATTTACTCGCCAGTACAGTTCGTACTGATGCCTGTCATGTGTTAGAAAGGTCAAGCCTAAAACGGAGAAAATGTCGGTGCTGTTTACCTGGCTGGAGCATGAGCTCCTCGACGGTTCCACCGCATGCGGCACGAGTTCCGTTCCCATCTGGATGCCTGGAAGTTTGTCGGCGGCAGGAAGCAGCCCTGATCACCTGCGACTCGTCAGGTTCATGGTCAAAACTCGCCATTTTTCGTGAACACGAATGCTCCTGTGTTCATACTCGCAAGTCTTTCGCGAAAGCCCTTCCCCATCCACTGTTCCTGACAGTTTCGCGCCCTCCAACAGCCAGACCTTCTGCCACCACAACGCGTGAACCAATTTTCCCTTCCTTCCCCCTCCCCACCTTTCCCCACTCTCCCCCACCCCACGCCCTCCCCCGATTCCCCCACTGGGTTCCTTCACTCCCCGACTACCAGCCAAACCATTGGCTGAACAGGCAGGTAACCACGCGGTAACAGCACGCAGATGCACCAATTTGCCGTCGATCTCTCCACCTCCTTCACCACCTCCCCCCTCCCGCCCCACCACAACACCCCCTTTTCCCTGCCGCCGTATCCCCCTCCCCTTCCACTTCCTCGCCTTCCCTTTCATCAATCAGCGTGTCCTAAGTGTACGCCTAAGCATATGCTTTCCGCCGTTTTGGCTCCATTCCCGAAGTGTTTTTTCTTGTGCTCCATAGCCCAGATTTAGCCTGCTCCGTTCTTCTTGTGGAAGTCCACAGGCTGCTCTCAGAAGGTGTCTTGGAGCTGCCAGAACGATTTTCCTCTTCATAGTCGGTTTGACGCTGGTTTGAAAGCCGGGGTTTGATAGTATCCATCCACGGCGGGAACCGTTTCGTCGTGTCCCTTTAGCGTCGTACTCTGGCATTCAGTAATGGCTGCTCGACAAATGGCTGTGCTTATCCTCGCCCTAGCTGCGTCCTGTCTAATCACTTCCGAAGCGGCGAAGTACAACGGTCAGCAGCAGCTCACCGCGATTCGCGGAGCGCTTAAATCCAAAGGTTACAAGAAATTCGACGCCTTTCTCGAATCGACCGGCTTCATTAAGAGTCTCCTGCCGGTGCTTAACGACTGGAATGTGACCGTCCTCGCGCCGGTCGACTTTGCCTGGAATACGAATTCCGCGAAAGCGGACATGGCGGACAAGAAAAAGGCTCCGCAGATCATTGGTTATCACTTCATTGTGGGAAAGCGAACGTTCAAAGAGATGCTGAAATACAAGACCGGCACCGAGGTACGTGCTCGATGGTGTCTAACTTATGGGATAAGATGCTGAAATACAAGGCCGGCAACGAGGTACGTTCTAGCTGATATCTAAGTTCTAGGCTGCTGAAATGCGAGACCGGCACCGAGGTACGTGTTAGGTGGTGTCTAGCTTATGGAATAAGAGATGCTGAAATACAAGACCGGCACCGAGGTATGCGGTAGCATGTATTAAACTTCCAGGAAAGAGATCCTGGAGCATGCTACAGCTGATGTCTACTTTCTACCGTAAGAGATGCTGCGATGCTAAACCAGCACCGATGTATGCGCTAGAAGATTTCTAACCGATAAGAAAGGAGTTGCTGAATCGCGAAACCGGCACCGAGGTGTGTACGAAACCGGCAGATGATGAAACAAGCACTCAGGTATTCTCACGCGGAGATCTAAACTTTTCTGCTTGTGAGTCGATTTTTTAGGCGCCTCAAAGAAAGGCTCAAACGCGGAGTTTTAAACTTGTCTGCTTTCGAGTCGACTCAAACGTGGAGATCTGAACGTGAATGTTTCGTCTTCTGAGGTTATGAAGCCCAGAGCCGAGCCTGTCTACAGTCCGACGTCGACGGTTGCATATGCATCCCCTATCGAAGGAAAAGAAACACGTACTGTAGCAATATGCGGTTCAGCCGTATGAGCCTCATATGCTGTGGCTCGCCCGTGCCACTGCGGATGCACGGGTTTCACTTATAACACGCGACGGGTCGCAATTTCACATTGAACACGCGACGGGTTTCACTTTCACTTTGAACACGCGACGGGTCGCAGTTTCACAGTGAACATGATATCGCAGTCCAATGCTGTCCTTGAAATGTCTCGAAAACCAACTCACATCTCGTCCGTTTCACCGTTCCACTGGATGAGGTGAACGGTGAAAGCTCAAAACCAGGTCAACTCATCTTGTCCACAGTTGATCTCAACTCAAGTCAAGGATGGTGGAAAGGGACTGGCTGTTTCATCTGCTCCCGCCTTCTCTCCAACGCGCTTTTGCCTCCGCTTTCTTCGTATGGCGTTACAGATGGTGACGTGCAATGCGTCTAACGAAGATGCCGATTGTGAGAACGCCGTGGTTGCAGTCCCCGTTTCAAGCCCGCTTCTTTACCGACCTTTCCCCCGCTTGTCTACACAGATGGTGTCGCTGAACTATCAGATGAATATGCTGAATGTGCGGGCAACATTGGTGGTGATGCTCAACTATCAAATGAGGATCCTGAATGTGTGGACCAAGTGGGGAGAGCCGTTTCTTCTACCGTCCTTCCCCCTCCTGTGTGCACCGACGCTGACGCTCAACTGTCAGACGAAGATGCTGAATGTGCGGGCGAAGCTGCGAGACGTGCGATAGGGATCCTCGATTCAAGCTTGCTCTTCTGCCCTCCTTTCCCCCCCTTGTGTGCACAGATGGTGACGCTCAACTATCAAATGAAGATCCTGAATGTGCGGGCCGCCTCGGGCGTGGTGCGCTTGGGACCCTCGATTGGAGCAAAGTACACTGGAAAGATCAGCAAGCCTGGCGTTTTCAACGGGAAGATTAATATCGTTCACGGGGTTGACACGGTGATTCGCCCGCCGTGGTACCAGGGAATCAAGGGAGGGAAGTAGGGATAAAGGGAGGGCAGTTGTAATCAAGGGAGGGGAGGAGATAAACGTACTTCGTGTACAGCTTGTTTGGCTCTGATTTCAATGGGAAGAGGCATGAAGACTATGGGGTTGAAGCACCAGTGCCCTTAGACTGCATCTGCATACCAGTACAACCATTGATTGCTAGTATTCCAAGTGCCCTTTCGCATGAATTTGACAGCTGCATGCTGTGTTCATTCTCTATCTACTTTATCTGCATCTTTTTACGTGAAGAGATGACAACACTGCTGCCTTGGATCCAAAGTGGGCTGGATAAGGGTGCACAACTACGGTTGTACAGCACTTGTCGTCCCTGGCACTGATTAGTAGTTACCTAGTTTGAGTACCCTGGATCTTGTCTACACTTGTACAGCACTTGCTTAATAGTTATAACCAGGGCTGACGTTTCAAAAAAAACCACCCTGAGCTGTCGAATGGGGAAATTTTTTTACCCTGAGGGCCTAGTGTTGGTATTTTGACTTCCCTGATTTCTCAGTGTTCTGGAACTTACAACCCTGAAACCTCCAGGGTTGGCTTGCAACAATCAGGGTTGCATTGTACTTGGGAAAAAATCAACTAGGAATGTACAGCTACTAGTTAAGTAAAAGCACCACTACGCCACGCCAGTCTACAAGTCCTCTATCTAGTCTAGACTTCACAATATTCCATGCCACTAGCTACACTTGACTAAAATTCTGGGCCATCCATGTTCACTTCGTCTTCTGCGTCGTCATCGGACAGAAAGGGGTTGTCTTCCTCTTCAGGAGCCTCTCCCCCCACTGCCCCCACTCCCCCCTCCTCCTCTCCCTCATCCTCTGCCCAATCCCCCATGTAGTCGGGGACTGCCTCCTCCTCCACCCTCACTTCTGCCCCCTCAATCGCCTTCGCCTTACGCTTCCTCTCCGCTGCGGCAAACAGAACAGACTTAGCAGGGCGCCTCAGCTTCTCGCGCCAGCACCCAATGGCCTCGTCCCAGTCAGTCTCGTACTGCAGCAGGGAAATGACCATCAGCTCGCTGAGGCGCGCATTGCACAACGCGCCCCGCACCCATGACTTGATGACGTTCTGCCGCGAGAAGCCTCGTTCACACTCCACTGTGCTAAGCGGCAGGACAGCGCATGCCTGCCACAAGCGCATGAGGTTGGGCCAGCGCCTGCCAGAAGGGTTGGGGGAATAGAGTACATGGAACAAGACCAGTGCATTAGCAATGCTTGTCAACAATCGATAAACAACAACTGATAAAGGAAACAATGAAACCGCCCAAAAGGAAAATCAATAATCGTCCTTCGAGCAGCACTCTCTCACAAGGTCGACTCCGTCGAGCCGAGGTAGTTCGTCAGGCCTTGATGGAATCCTTCGTCGGCATGGTGGCTCAGCATCAGTGGCGCCCACGTGACCAGCTCCTTCTGCGCAGCTTGCAAGGAAAAGCCTGTCAGCCTGTTGTCGAACAAGGCACTGCAGCCATGTAGGTACTCCTTCAGCTTCTTCTCTCTCTGCTGCTTCATCCGGGGCCACTTCGACACGCGGAAGAGCTTCGTCGGGCCGAGATTGTTCAGGTCCAGCATCCTCGTCTTCAGGAAGCTTATCGTGTCCTTCGCGAATTGCGCGCAGAGCCGCTCGCAATCGGGGTACTTGCTGCGGAAGGCATGCCCGTCGATCTGCTTCTCGTGCATGGTGTAGGTGTGCGTGACTGGGTTGCCGTCCTTGTCGATGCCCCGCACCTTTACGCGTTTGCCCCCTCCGCGCCCGTAGACCGCCAAGAAAGCCGAAAGCCACGTGCCTTCGACACCCCCGCCGAACACCTCTCCGCACTCCAAGTAGCGGTGGCGGAGGTCCCCTGTCGCCTCGTCGATGTCCTTCGTCACTTCGGTGACATCGACCTGGTGGATGTGACAGACGACGGAGTGGAGTCAGAGGGTGATTCCAAACGTGCATGCATGGGACAAAAATTACATGCAGGGTGATAGAAGCTCACCTCCCTCTTCTGGAATTTGAGGTTGAGCTCATTCATCACTCCGAGGACGTCCGCCAGGAAAAAAAGACAAAACTGGAACTTGTAACAGATAACGACCTCATACAGCTCATGCCCGTACTCATAGAAGAGAATGATAGCGGCGCCGAGGACCTTACAAAGGCGCCTCACAGCCTCACCCCTTGAAAGCCAGCGCACGGTGTGAATTCCTTGCACTTCAAGGTTGGTGTTATGTATTGCCCGCTGCAGGTACTTGAAGCGTTGACTCCAGACACATGAACGTCCCAGAAGATCGGCCAGAGTCCGAATCACAAGGTCGACCATGTCGAAGTCTGGAGAAGCAGTGGCCGCGTCCTTCACCGCCAAGGCTTCCCTGCATGGTGCACACAAGGGAATTTTAGTCAAGCACTTGTAGGAAACCTAAGCGACTGAAATGACAAGCGGTTAAACCTGTGGGCGATGCAGTGCGAAGAGACGAGATGGGGGATGTGCTCGCGAAGTCGGGCGACGAGACCGTTGTCTCGGCCGACCATGACAGAGGCGCCGTCGGTGCTCATGCCGGTGATTCGGGAGAGATCGATGCCAGTTGCTCGCAAGTGAGCCAGAAGAACGGCGAGGAGTGACGCGGCGTCGCACTTTTCGACGGTCAAGAGTGCAAAAAACTCAGTCACAACACGATGCGCCCGCAAGAAGGTCAGATAAACAATCAGATGTTTACCACGAGTACGGTCAGTGCTCTCGTCGCAGCTGATGCCGAGGTAGGGTGAGGCGAGAATGTATTGCATTTGTCGGCGCTGCAGGTAGGTTGCCAGGCTGCTGACGAGCTGACAGAAGCCATACCTGTAGTAGCAGAAGTGACAACAAGGTGTTGGTTAGACCTTTTTGAAAAAAAAAGGACATGGTGTACTTCGAATAAGTGCATTACCTTGTCAGGTAGACTCCGTAAGACTGCAGCGGAATGTCCGGTGTCTCCTGCTTGGCCATGAAGCGGAGTAGCCTCGGGTACATGCTGATGGGTGCATCACACTTGCACAGGAAGTCGACGCAGCGTAGGAGCCTCATGACGCGCTTCCCTTCGATGTCAATCCGCGCGTAATTCTCCATGCGCCTCTGGGTGCTGGCGATCTCTTCGGCGATCTCCATCTGACGCTTGACGGCTACTTCGTGGGCTGTCGTGTGTTCGTGGAACCGCATCGCTTGCGTCTGCAGGTCACGTGCCCCGTCGCGGCTGTTGGAGTACGGTGTTGTCTCTTTGCCGAAAGCCTTGCACACACTGCACTTCAAAGCAGGGTAACCATCTTTCGTTTTCGTTAGCAGAAGCCAAGGGAAAAAAGGAAGCCAGCTGGTCTTATACTTGTGCTCAGCCATGAGATACTTCTGCTCGATGAGTTCCTTCTTTGAGAGCTTCGGCGGCTCGGGTTCTGGAATACCAGGGGCCTGAGGTTCAGGCGACGAGCGAGGCGGCGACGGTCTATGTAGCTTCCCGCCGAGGACTATCGTGCTCTGGGTGTACTTCCCGACGCGTGCTTTCTTCCCAGATGAAATCGTCGACGCACACTCGACCGTGTAACGCACGGTCGTGGCTGTCTCGCAGTCTGGAACCAAAGGGCCCCGGCTAGATGAAGCGACAGCGGGCGGAGGTACATAGGGAGCGGCGGGAGTAGATACGGGTTGTGATGGTGTAAGGACTGCGGTGGGAGACCGCAAGATGTCTAGCGCGGATCTACGAACCTCCACGGGGCGGTCCCTACCTAGTTCAGAACTATCGTCGGCAGTGGGAGACTCACCAGAGTCTCCTACATCCGCCATGGCTAGAAGCGGCGGATATGCTGAAAATGAGAAATCGGCGCGACGAAACTAGAGGAGATTGAAGACTGGAGCATCTCGCAGCTGTGACGTGAAGAAATGAAAAAAACTGGGTTGGAGGAGGAGCTGGTGAAGAAGACGGGAAGAGGACCAAGAAGCCCCATCTCTCGATTTTCATGGATGGTGCATAACCCATCCAGGTTCCCGTATCGCCATGGCGATACCGTCAACGGCGAAACGCACCTGCGCTGGCATCGTCTGCACAGAGATGATTGGCGGGGTGATGTCATACAGAGGCTGACATTGCCGCGCTCATCATATTCTGTCCTCGTCTGCTGCGTGCTGAGTCACGAATGCCAGTTGACGGTTGCAAATGTTGCTGTAATGGCAGCATACAGCGTGTATACGGCGGGAATCTTGCCGAGTGCAGATTCCCCACGTGACGCATGCTGGGCGTGTTCAATGGACTGGGCCCCGTCACGCGAAAGGGGGCCATTTCGAGGAAATTCAGGGTCCGCATGGATGTCGCATTCAGGGTTCGTACGCGTTACTCCCTGAAAACTCAGTGTTGGTATAACACAAACCCTGAAATTTTAAGTGTTCACAGACATACAACCCTGAAGAGGTTAGGGTTAAAAAAAACCCAACCTTGAAAATTAAGGGTTGGCAAAAAAAATACCCTGTGAAATCAGGGAATCAGGGTAAAATACCTTGATAACGACAGGCCTGGTTATAACCTAATAGGATTCTGTATATCGTAGTCTGCTGCTGTTTATGAATTGCACGCCCAAATTTGGAACCGGTAAGTCAACAAGTGGGACATTGTTAGAAAGAGAGAATGACTAGAATAGGAAGATACAGGGCAATATAGACTAGTGTGATGTACCTTCTAAGGCACAAACCTGTATAGTCTACAGTAACAACATAAGTTATGTTGACACACCCCCTAGACTATATAGGCGCAGTGCCTAACAATGGAAGAAGCTGTTAGAATAAGATGATGATTACTAGGAAGAGAAACCTAGAACATATACCTGTTGGGGTTGTACTCACTAGAAGCACACACCTAGTCTAGCCTATAACTTCTACATAGAACATATGCATAAGTTGACACACCCCCTAGGCTAGGTAAAGGGTGAAGCTAAGCAAGAAGCACACAGCTCAGGGTGGCACTACTAGTCCAACCACTGAGGCAAGGGTCCGGAGATCAGTAAGCAAGAGTACAAACAAGACTAAAGCAAGCCAGGGCGGCACTTCTAGTCCAGCCACTGGAGGTAAGGCCACAATGCCAGTCAGACAGATATAAATAGTAGAGAGTACACCATCAGGGTCCTAACAAGTGAGAAGTGACAGGAACAAGACCAAGCTGGACACAGTGCCGCTGATGATCTTTAGGGACAAGCGCCTTAGTAAAGATATCAGCAGTGTTGGCACCGGAGGCCAAGTGAACTACGCGGGCCTGGCGACGCTGCTGTAGCTCGCGCAAGAGGAAGTACCGCAGCAGGATATGCTTCGCTCTGCCCTCAAGCCGAGGCTCCTGACACAAGAGAATCATGGCCCTGTTGCCAGCGTACAGGACCGGGGCAGAGCTAGGCCGCTCACCTAAGTCGGTGAGCAAGAAGGTAAGCCAGCGGAGCTTCTGTGCCGCCACGGCACCAACGTAGATCTCAGCCTCACAGCTGGACTGAGCAACAGACGATGAGCGAGTGGATCTCCAATAGATAGCACCCGAACCAAGGCTGAAACAGTAGCCCTGAGACGACCTGAGAGTCTCAGAGTCGTCTGCCCAAGAAGCGTCTGTGTGCCCAGTGAGGACCACTGGCATGCGTCCTCCTAGCACTAACCCCATGCCCGATGTACTTGCAAGATAACGCAAAACCCTCTTAGCGGCAGACCAGTGCTGAGGTCGGTGTTTGCCTGTAGCGGCAGACCAGTGCTGAGAGCGGTGGCGTAGCCAAGGCGGCGGGTAGAGGCGAAGTCAGCGACAGCAGCGACAAGTGCGTCAAGGCCAGGCCTGTCGTTATCAGGGTATTTTACCCTGATTCCCTGATTTCACAGGGTTTTTTTTTTTGCCAACCCTTAATTTTCAGGGTTGGGCTTTTTTTAACCCTAACCTCTTCAGGGTTGTATGTCTGTGAACACTGAGAATTTCAGGGTTTGCGTTATCCCAACACTGATTTTTCAGGGAGTAACGCGTACGAACCCTGAGTGCGACATCCATGTGGCTCACAATGCGGAAATTTAGGCGAAGTCCCCAATCTCCAGAGACATTCCCCCCCACACGCAACAACCTACAAAAATTGGTGAAGTCCTCAAACATTCCCTCACACACCGAGCAACCCACAAAAATCGGCTAAGTCATGTGTCGTACAGACATCCCCCTTACACACCTAACAACAACCCACAAAAATTAGCTAAGTCTTGATAGGCAGTGACAGCACAAAAAAAAAAACGGCTTAGTCCTATTGTACACAAGTTATCCCCCCTCCCACACTCCCACTACCCATAAAAAAGGCTAACGGTCAAGTCATAGAAGGGTA